AACAATGAAGCCGTGTCTCTCTCTGGTCGTCGTAGCGCAGTATGGCAGATGTGAACACTCATGCTGGATTTATCATCGGCCGAGAGAGCCTTAGGGCCTTTATGAATGTTTTATGCGAGCACAAGTTTGGGTTGGCTAGCCTTATGGTCACTGCTTCTGCTGCCACAAGTATCCGCTGCTGTAGGAACTTGGGGTACTTAGCCGGAACTTTATAGACGACTCCGAATGACTGGCTGACGTTCATCCGGTGGCCACTGTCAACCAAGTGAACCATAAATACATTGGACATGGACTTTCCCATGCCATGCTTTAGTCAGGCAGACCGACGACCTCGTATACGCTGTTCTACCCTCCCTTATACGACTGTATAAAACAATTCTTAGTGACTACTGCTTAAAGAATTTGGTGAGCAAACGTAGGCCTTCTGCTGGGTATTTTCTAGTCAGAATCGGAATAAATGATTTTCACTTGTGAGATGAAAACTAGATCGTGGACGACGTGCTTGTTATACCTAGGTAAGTTCTGAAGGCTTTTGGTGGACAGGGGAGGCTACATCGGAAAAAGTAGTAAGCAGGAACTTATCCGGGCCCTACTCGCCTATGTTGAAATGAAATAACCTTATACTATGTAGTTTCATCCAGGCGATGAGGCTGAACTCCTAATAAAATGAATATAAAGTTTCTTTAATAGAAATAGGTATTTATGCCAGGTTCAGGCATCTGATGGCTGAAATTTATTTGAAAACACTCTTTAGTTTGATTTTAAAAACGATGTGACACCCAAAGCAAGTGCATACCGCACCCACACGTGATAAACCCTAGAGAAAACCTTGTTTTTCTTATCACATACTTCCCCAATGGGACAAAGGAAAGCAATCTGATCCGTAGTTGACTAATGAGCTTTCGTCTTTCCTTGCAGTCTATGTCGTCTCTTACGAGTTTTACATGTACATTTTGACGTATATTTACTGGTTTATTACGAGAACCGTACTTAGTTCCGGACTGAGGCTAAAATTTGGCCTGTTTATTTGTTAATCCACCTTAGCAGTTTGGACAGGTTTCTCGTGAAATTTCTTCAACTGTTGCTTTTTGCAAAGCTTACTTAATTTGAATTTAACACCACATTTCTCAATTCCCCCCATACACACAATCTGGTTGACCAGATTTATGACACTCTGGTTTGTTATGAACGAGCTGGCGATTTCTCATGCCAGCGTTGTTTACCAAGGCCGTTAGCAACCCCCACTTGACATCGAAGTAGCCTATGGGTATTTGAAAAAGGGTTGAATGTCAGCATACTGCTGAGTTTTTAAAATTCGCGAGCTGGCTTGTATCTTAACAGGCGCCTACAGGCAACATGCCGTCAAAGGTCGCTATAATTTGCAAACAGGAGCTTTTTCCAGGGGTCAACTTCGGTCAGCGTAGTACGGGAAATAAATAATTACATTTTTAAATATATACATGCGCGGCACTAGAGTGGATAGGCCACTAGACTACAACGGTGTGCGACGAGCTGCTGTTGACTCGCACAGCGGGAACTGGAATTCTGGTGAGAGTAAACACTGTCGTCTAAACAGTGAGGGTTTGGGGACTGCTATCTGTATTCGTAATAAAAGAGATCTTGTAGCTTTGTGCGGTTCCTATTCCGTTTTTGATTGG